CTTGTCCGGAAATACATATTTATCGCCATCTGGTTCGATGTAGTCGCGAAGGATCATGATCCCGAATTCGTCATGACGGGTTTGGCTTAAGGTTAACGGTCAACCGTCTGGGCTAGCCGAAAACGACATATCCATACCTATGTTGATTGCGTGTAAGACATGGCAGTGAGAGGGATTATGAGATCCTATACGGTGAGGATGCGGCACAGCGGTTCTTTATCAACATAGATGCCAATCACGCCTCAACTGAGATCCATGGGGCTCAGGCAGTGGGAATCTCGAGCGCATGGGATAATATGACGATATCGTCAGCTCTGCTCTAGCACCTAGGCATCTCTTGGTTTGGAGAGTCTCGAAGCTTATATAGCCACAAATGAAGCTTTAGGGGTTTTGCGGACTATTATTCATGGTGCATCTACCTGCAGTCGCCGATCTTTGAAGAAAATAAGACTCGTAAATGCAGGACCAAAATGCTCACTGCACGCGTGGAAGCGTACAAGGGCGTTGTGTGTCTGCAAGGTAGGGCACGAGGAACCAAGGGGCCAAGGGCCGTCAGCACATGTGAGAATGATGCCTCCACCAGTGCTGACAAGCAGTAGCGACAGTAATAATATGATAGATAGGTAGCGCGGCCCTACAGGGCATAAGGAAAAGGAAGGATCTTGACGACTTTGAGGAATGATGGCCCCGCAATGGAAGAAAACCTCAGCGGCAAGCGGACAGTACGTACATTAAATAGCATCGATTTCATCAATTCGGAGACACATACTTTTTTATCGCCGAAATTAATAAGTGTTACATTGAGGAAGCAACATTACACTGAATTGTAAGATTTATATAATGAAATGTTGGATATATGTTGGGTTGGATTGAGCAAAAGAAAGTAATTTACATGCGTTTAGACATTTTGTCTGTTGACCTTATTGATAATCTGTCTTGCCCAATCAGATCTATGCATTAGAAATTTCCTCGAATCCAATTGATATCTCCACTCTTTGCAACCCCCCCTCCCCCAATCACAAGTCAACCACTCTTATCAATCCAGAAGATTGATGGCAGCAGCATTCCATTTCTTTGCTTTGCTTGGGCATTGGGCTTCATAAGAGAACATACCTACCTGCCCATATGAAAACCATCTCCACATCTAGAAAGAATCATCACTTCAATTTCCAGGAAATCAACTCGAGGGAGGATTCTTCTTCTACTTATACATTCTTGAACACTGCCCAAAATTCCATGGAACGATTAGTTGCGATAAGGACCCGAGTATATTTTTGCCTATCACTTTAACGTAGGAAGAACAGAGATAGAAAACAACTCTGCTTACAGCTTCGAAAGGGTCAATGGTCTAGGGTAGCATTCCCTCAGAATTAGCAGCTAGAAAGGATAGGTCCGCGCGTGTGTACTCCGTAAATACTTATCGGATCGGATAAGCCTTGTCTACCGGCTACTAGGGACCCGCAGCGCACCACCGTACACCGCATCGATACCCATCAACGGATTTGATACGGATAACGTCGAGGGGATAAGCTGAGGATCGTGCCCCTCTCTCGCGCTGGATGGCTGACGTACGGGATGCGGGTCATGTTGATGGAGGATCGTCGTCCTCGTTGAATAATGTCAAGATCAAACCGGAGAGTAATGTGACGACTGATCGGGAAAGCTCGACGTCGAATAAAAGATCGAGGAGTAGCAGAGATGCCGCTGCGATCAAGAGAAGGTGTGTTTCAACAGCTTGTGTCGCATGTAGGAAGCGCAAATCCAAATGCGATGGAAACACACCAAGTTGCGCAGCTTGCTCGAGTGTGTATGGGACTGGTATGTTCATCTCATGTCTTCAATTGATCTGTGGCAATTGGCCTGCAAAACTAGCTGAGTACTTGAACTGACATTGTAAATTGACAGAATGTGTATACGATCCCTTATCAGACCATAGAAGGAAAGGCGTATATAAAGAAAAGATCGATAGTCTGAAGACTCGCAATTCCACTCTACAAACATTGATACAAGCGATATTGAATGCCTCCGAAGAAGACGTGCCAAATCTGGTCCGCCAAATTCGAACGTGTGAAAGTCTGGATGATGTAGCAGAAAACATTCTGAGACAAGACCAAGCCTTCGAAGACGATGATGATGATATCGACGATAACATGGCATATACGTCGTCTAGTTTGCCGGCTTTCGAGACTCAATTATCGGGAAAGATGGGTGAATTGAGGTTAGAAAATGGTTCGGTAAGGTTCTTGGGAGGCACCTCAAATTTAATTTATCTCGATGCAGCAAGTGTTGAGCATGGGGACGCTTTAGAAACGACGCAACAAGAGGAACCTCTCCTGTCATGGACTACAGTCACAAGTGATACAGAGGTTATCGTTCATTTGATCAATATGTATTTTACGTGGCATTATCCATATTTTACGACATTGAGTAAAACGCTGTAGGTTCTTCTTTTCCATAATCCCCGATTCGAAGCTGGCCCATTTAACCTCCCCACCGTCTCGTTTTGCTTCAAGAATTACTGACTGATTGATATTACTAGGTTTTATAAAGACTTTCTTTTGGTATGTTTATTTGCCAGACACTGGCCCATTGTATTCTACATTCAAAAAAACCAGGGTTAACGGAATTCAGGGAAACCCTCCAGTGACTGCAAAAAGAACGATGTACTGTTCATCATTATTGGTTAGTGAAGACCCAACCCTCAATGTTGTTATCTTCTAACGATTCCCAGGTTAATGCTATGCTGGCTCTGGGGTGTCATTTTACAAACTCCCCCCAAGCCTGTGCAGATCCAGGTGATACCGCTACTAAAGGTGATCATTATTTCGCGGAAGCGAAAAGACTATTTATCGAGAATGAAGAGTTCGAAAAACCGAGATTGACTACGATACAAGCTCTCTGGTGAGTTGTTATCCTTATGTTCAAATATGTATATCTAACATGATGGCAGTTTGATGTCAGTTCGTGAGGCAGGTGCAGGCCGAGAAGGAAAAGGTTGGGTCTACTCTGGAATGGCATTCCGAATGGCTCAAGATATGGGTCTCAACTTGGATTCCGGAAACAATAAAAGCAGTCCAAAGGAATTTCACGTTGATGGAGACGAAATCGATGTTAGAAGAGTCACATTTTGGGGCTGGTATGTTGAATTGATTCAATGTATTCTTTTCCACCATTGTTCAAATTGTTCCCTGACCACAAGTCCTATTTTTCTGGTCATTCAATTCCTATCTTTTACTTCTAGTGCAATATTAACTCCTCATTTTCTTGAAACTCGTTCTTTGATGAGCAATTGCTGACTTTCCTCGATAGCTTTCTCTTTGACAAATGTTTTTCGAATTATTTGGGAAGACTTCCTCTGTTATCAGTGACCGACATTACGGTACCAAAATATGACGTCAAAAAATTCGACGATGATGAAATTTGGTCACCTTACACAGATAATGGAATCGGTCAATTACATTCCCAACCATCAAGGACAAGAGCTGTAGCTTTACAGATTTCGAGCCTGTGTGAGATTAGTAGTGATCTTCTCACATTTTTTTACCATCCACAAAATGTTGAAAGGGGTGTTGGAAGATCACAGGAGTTAAAAAAGCTAAGCGAATTACAAACAAGACTCGAGGCTTGGAAAAGAGATTTACCCAAGGAGTTTGAACCAAAGGAAGGACAATTACCTAATGTCCTTCTTATGCAGTATGCGCTACTATATCTAAACTTCAACTCATTACTGATATTATATAGCATGTTTTTCCATCTTTTATACATCCATCTGTTTCGGCCGTTTCTCAAATACAATCCAAGTACATCGCCTTTACCGACACATGTATCTCCTCGAAAACTTTGTACGCAAGCTGCTGGTTCGATATCAAAGTTAATGCGTCTTTACAAGCGTATATATGGGCTTCGACAGATTTGCAATATAGCAGTTTATATTGTTCATTCTGCTTGTACAATCCACCTCTTGAATCTCCCAGAAAAGACAGCGAAGAGGGATATCACTCACGGAGTCAAGCACCTTGAGGAAATTGCCGATGATTGGCTCTGTGCACGTCGTACTCTTTCAATCCTCTCCGTACTGGCTCGAAAATGGAATATCGATCTTCCTACAGAAGCGTCAGCTGTATTCTCTCGCACTGATAGCAGGTTTGGGTATTTCTCGACAGCCGATGTTCCATCGCCGAAAGCAGAGATAATAGCGACTACACCATCATCATCGTCATCACCTACTCATTTCCAGACCCCTGTGCATTCTCAACCGCTCCTTGCAAGGAGTCAAACCCAGTTACAACAGAGCTTGTATAGCTATCCTCTCGATTCAGAAATTCCACTTACGAATAATTTGATAAGCGATATATCAACACAGTCTTCGCTGCCCGGACTTCAAAATGTTGTCTCGCCACCATCCGATCATACAGATTCTATCACATATTCTACGGCAACAAATCCCCTTCACATGCCACCTGTCTCTGCGTACCCCCTCTCTCGTACAATCTATACCAACCCGGCTCAATCCTTCGCCCCTAGTATCACCAATGCCACTTCTACGGCTAATAATAGCCCACTGACTAGTGGGAATAGAAGTGCAAATAGAAACGTTAGCCCTAGTACGCTGTTTGGTGGGGTGGAGCAGTTAGTTCAAAGCCAGGATTGGTGGTTGCGGGATCAAGCGAGCTTAGTAGTCGGGTTTGAGAATTGGATGGGTGGAGGTGTTGGTATTGGTACTGGGCATAGTCATAGCTTGAGTGGTGATTTAGGGACCGGGACAGGCAACCCGTTTTATGATAATGGCAACCCTAATTCTGGGAACGGAGGTGGTAATGCAGGCGCAGGGGGTGGTGGGGGCGCTAATAGAGGGTTTAGGGATGACGACTGGTTCTCATAATTGCTATGGGTGTTTTGATATAATACGATATGATATAATACGATGATACTAGAATGGGATTGAGAAGGGATTTTGTCGGGCTTTGACAGGGTGGACATGGTTATGATGACCAATGATCATGGCCGAGGCGGAAACAGGAGCCTGGCATGAATTCAGCGTAGGAGTTTTGTGGGATACCTGTGTTCTTGTCACAGTGGAATATTTTGACTTTAATAAGATGAGGATTGTATGTACCAATGATTCATTATATATAGATATGCGTTCGGGATGGTATGGTATGGTTTGGAAAAAGATGGAGCTTGTTAGTACAGATAACGTGTTTGGAGTAGAAACAACATTTGTACTCTATGGTCCGTTCTTTTCTTCGAGGTTAAAATGAGGTTGGAGGGAATGAGGGAAGTTGAACGCTCTTTTTGTATCGGGTTGTATTTGTAAGGCTATCTATCTATCTGTTCTTTTTTTCCGTGGAAATTTTCAGTGAAGCTTTTTCTCTTGAATATCGATTTTAGACTGCGACTATTTTGAAGCTTGATGGGACGACATAGCGAGTTTTTGGAGATGGTAAAGAATGAAGGTTGGCTGGAAGATGATTTGACCTCCTTTCGCCTATTCCAAGAACATGTTGATATTGAAAAATGATTGTTGCAATTGAGAGGCACACAGATTCGTCTCTCACAATACTTACCTCATTAGAAACCCCCCCAAAATCATCACATTCATCTCCAAAAAAACCCCCCCCCATTTTGTAATTTTTAACTTTTAATTATGTATGTATGATTCGAAAAGGCTAAATAAGTGACCAATAAGTAACTCAAATAACCGCTTCTACATCTTTCTCTTTCTCTTTCTCATCCTCATCATCTCTTCCATTTGAATTCCGATTCTGATTTTCATATCCGATCTTATCTCTGCTCACATCTAATCATTCATATGCTCATACAATCCCTTTCCTTTCCTTCCATCATCCAACTCGATATGCAAAAGGGTATTTATGAAAAACCAAGTCCATCAATCGCTGTGCACCACGCAATGCAAAGTAAAACAAAAAAAGATTCCCCCTCTCCCATATATGCTCATAAAGGTATCGTATCATGCATGTGTTGTACGTCGCGTTTCGTTTCCTTGCGTTACATTGCTCGATTTCTTCATCCTCTGATTCGGTTTCTTTACCCGTTTATTCTCTTGTTCGTTTCCGTGATTGCGTCTCCTTTCTGTCTCATAGAATGAGTGCCTTTTCGGATTTCTTTTTTCCGTTTCAGTCCCATGCCTTCTAGCGCTTGTCTTGTCCCTTTCCTTTCTCCTCCCTCGGTCCCTCTTTCTCCTCCCTCGGTCCCTCTTTCTTCTCCCTCGGTCTCTCTTTCTCACCCCCAAACCTAACAAGCACCCCCTCGATAACCGGCACCAACTCCGTAATCCTAAAAGGTTTCGTCATAACCTCATCCATACCGGCTTCCATCGCTTGTTGAATCTGCTCTGCTCTCGCATTAGCAGTCACTGCCACAACTGGCACATGTCCTATCAGCTCTCTATTCTTTTCCATTTTGCGTATCTCCTTGGCGCATGTGAGACCATCCATTACGGGCATTTCAATATCGAGAAGAATGAGGGTGAGAGGAATGGGAGATTTTTGTGGTCGCGATTGCTGATGTAGTTGTGAAGGGTCTTGGGTTTGGTTTGGAATGCTAGCGTTCTGTGGGCTGTGTATTAGCATGAATCTTATGGGGAAATATGGCAAGAAAAGGAACTTGAAAAGGGGTCATCTTACCTTTTTTGATACAACCGTATTTGAGGGATCCACCTTCTCACTCATCCAATTCGTCTGACTTATAAACTCAATAGCTTCCTTTCCATGATTTGCTACGTGAACTGTACATCCCAACCGCTTCATTTGTGCCGCCAAGACCTTCTGATTAACTAAATTATCCTCCACGATCAATACACTCCACGAACTAGGCCTGAGAAAATCCGGAGTCTTATTCGTTTTCAACTTCTGGCTTTCTTCCTCCTCAAACCCAAATGAGTTGCGATTAGTAGGTAATCTTCCCTTCTCCTTCAAATCGAGGAGCTTATTCAACATGTTTTCTTCATGGTCCTTGATGCTTTTCGGAACATTTGTCGCAAGTCTCCCATTAGCTTCCAGATCCGAAGTCATCTGCGATTCAACATCCAGAGTTTTTGCCCTTATCAATGCACGGCGGCATTTAATGTAGAAAGCGAAAGTACTTCCCACCCCAAACTCTGATGCCACGCCAATTTCTCCACCTTGCAATTCGGTAAGTTGGCGTGAGATAAATAGTCCAAGGCCAGATCCTCCATAATGGACATGAGTTCGAGGCGATGCCTGAGAGAAACGTGTAAACAAGTTTTTCTTCTCGGCAGGTGTTAATCCACAACCAGTATCTTTTATTTCGAATCGAAGATATATGATTTGACCTCTACCCCATTCCTCGCTATCGGTAATATTGGCTTTCGAAAACTTGGTAGGAGATGGGAAGTATTCAAAATTGGCCAATGACTCTAACAAAGGTGGTTCCAGGGAGGCACTTATGGAAACATGGATTTCTCGTGTCTTCTCGTCCTTGGTGAATTTGATAGCATTTGTCATGAGATTAATCAATACTTGAGTTAATCTACTTGAATCGAGCATGACACTGTCAACTCTCAACTCTTGAAGAGACTTTTTGATGTCTAAATTGAGAGATATGGTATTCATTTGACATTCTCCGGCAAACATCCTCAACCCTAGCTTTACCACCTCTACAGGTTTAGTAGAGACAGGTGTAATTGTAAGCAGATTTGAATCTAATTTTGAAATCATCAAAACATCATCAACAATTGATTTTTGGTGTTGAGCACAGAGTTGAATTGTTTCGGCGGCGTCTATACCATCTTTCAAGATAGTCGCGAGTTGGTAATCGCGCTCCTCCAGATCCTTGTTCGCTGCTCTGTATTGTTTCAAAGAGGATGAGATACCATCTGCACATTGAACGATAGCGCTGAGTGGATTGCGCATTTCATGACTTGTTATGTCGATAAACGAATTTTGCTGGCGTCTTGTTTCTTCGTAATCTTTTAGTCGTCTGTCTTGGATCTCTTCAGCCCATTTAATCCTGGAAATATCCGTTGAACCTATGTTATATCAGTAAAGACCAGTTGTAAAGTCGTGGACTAAGCTTTCGCTAGGGAAAAAAAGTTCTATTTCAAACTTACAGCCCATCACACTCTTCAACTTTCCGTTCTCATCATTCTCTCCAGAGAATGTACCCAATACCCAGCGCTGTATAGTCAATGTACTCCCGGCTATGTCCCCTACCCATGGTTGTTCCATACGTGTCTCTATCACAAATGGAGTAGCTTTCTCTACCAGCGCGAACCATTGCGATCTGAACTTCGGTCGGTCCAACTCATGTATTGCATTCATCCACGCGAAGGGAATTTCAGCTAAGGTTTCACTCTTTGTGAGACCAGAAATATGAAACCATTGCTCATTCGCGTAGGTCAGTCTACCTTCTGGATCGAGAATAGCAAGGCCACCAGGAGCAAGGTCACTGAATCTTCTGAAGTTTCGTTCGATTTCGTTGGCCTGGTTTGTGCGAAGTAGAAGTTGTTCAGAGAGCTCTGCACGATCTTCCATTTCTTTAGCGAATCTTTTTTGGAGCGTGATATCGGTGCAGTAACCCATGATGCTCTTGATACTTCCATCCAAAGAAAATTCATGCTGGTAACTTGCCAGAATCCAATTCTCATACTCATCGCCAGTGATAGGATCATACCACGGCTTAACGAGTTGAAGCTCACCAGACCACGGCTGGTTACGAATGGTGAGTTTCTCCCAACCCTTCATCATAGTCGGAATGCTAGAGGGAGCAATTGTATCCATCCAAGACATTCTAGAAGCCGTATCGCGAGGCAGGTTCGTAATCTCGTAATAACGATCGTTGGCTTCGAGTAATGTACCATCACTGTCAACTGAGAATAAAGCGACAGGCGAAACTTCGGCGATACGTTGCAATCTTCCTTTCTGAAATGCTAACTCTTCAGAGAGTTTCATACGCTCAGCAGCAGCAATTTCTGCAGCGTCAGTACCACGTCGGATTTCGTCCTGAAAAAGTGTGACTGAGGCTAGGGAATTTGCCAATTGTCTGTTCAAGATTTTGACGAAAGATTCGTAATTGGCATCATATGGTCTCCTGGGGTTCACACCAATAACTAGAAATCCCAAAGTATTTTCAGCATTAGTTGGTCTCAATGGCAATACCACAGCCTCTCGTGACGGCTCGCCAAACCCCCTCCAATTATATCCCCGTGTCAAGCCGACTGGGAGCATACTATCCGAAAGTGACAACAAAGTTGGTTGGCGTGTTTTCATGGCCTCTCTCAAGGCTGGCACATATCCTCCCAGATGTCTTTTTAGATCGAGTCTGCTTTGAGCGCTTACATGTCCTTCTGGAACACCTAACGAGCCTTCTAAAATAACCGACTTGATACTCGTAGAACTATCAGAAGAAATCGAACCTCTCGACGATGTTGCATCATTCTCAATATCATCGAGGACCGAGTAAAGCAAAACAAATGGGAAGTCATATTCGTTCTCGGCAAGACCGCCAAGCATCAATTTCCAAAAATCCGACACAGATTGAGCAAGAGCCGTTTCTTCTCCAACTTTCAAGAGTGTCCTCATCCTTCGATTACTCACTACCTTTTGGGTCGTCTCAAAAGGTGCGTTGTAAACGCCCAGGAGCTCAGGGCTAGGACCGGCTTTCCAGATGGGTGTCAAGCTCCAGGAGTAAAAAGTTTCCTCGACAAATCCTTGACGCTCTAGGGGTAACATTTGATCTGTCATGGCGATTCCTCTCCCTGTCCGTCTGCATTCATTGAAAATCTCGCCAACCTCCTCCCAAATCTCTGCGAAAGGACCTCGAGCGCCTGTCCCCATCAAACGTGGATGCTTCTGACCAGCTACAGTCTCCGCGTAAGTTTGATTGTACAATACGGTTAACTCTTCGCCCCAGAAAATAGCAGCGGGATGGGGGTTGGCGATCACCATATTCACGATCTGGCGGAATTCGGGCGACCAGCTGTTCATGGGACCTAAAGGTGTCGAAGACCAGTCCACGCCTCGAGTGAAGACGATGTGATCGGAGAGATACCCTTCGGGATGCTCGATGGTCCAGTCTGCAACTGGAGACTCGGTGGTCCAGTCTGAGGATGGTCCCCCGACCATCTCACTCATAATGACATCTTCATTTTGATTTTGTGCGCCACTTGCCGGACTGTTTAAATTTGACACTTGGACATCTTTCAATGCTGCAATTGTCTTGTCGGAGAAGGTGGTGCTTAAAGTTCCTTTTTGGCTGTGAGAGTAATTACTAAATATAAGATCTCTCAACTCAACATCAATTTTGTTACCACAAATTAAAACCCATCTCTTCCGAATTGTGAATCCAGACCAGAGAAATCCATTGTATGAGAATGATTGGCCTGGGTAATCTTCATTGGTTTGTTTTTGGACGAAGTCCTTGATTAGAGATCTGAAGGTTGTAGAGGCAGGTCCCCCAGAATGAAGTATTGGAGAAGTCTGTCCTTCAGAGTTTGGAGATATGGTACTCGTGAGAAGAATATTGGACTGGAAAGTTTTGTTCATGTATGCCGGATCCAACGTATCTCCAAAGGCATTATGGTGCGAAAGGTCAAATATCAGAGTGGGTTTAGGGTCGAAATCCAGAAAGTCTGTGAGACCTATTTGATCGAGTTCTTCATATTCTCCTGGGGTATCAGATTCAGAATCAAGTAGATCTTCCTCATTGGTGCTTGATTGACAGTATTCGGCGTCTCTTAAAGGCGACTGTGTATGGGTTGGTGAATCAGACAGCATAAGTTTTTGGGCCTTCCTTGACCTGGGTGACATCGAATGTTTATGTATTTTTCAGAAATTCCGCAGGTCCATCAGCACAAAGATGTAGACGAGTTACTTCCTTTACCGATGCCCAATGTAAAATCGACAGGGAAGTATTTCGGCAGTGAATCTTTGTGGGTGTTGTTGATTTTGAGATAAAACTGCTAGGATCTTAACATATTGGTAGGCGGTCGGTTGAGTAGAGGTTTCGGTGGAGGCAGTAAGTGTATGTATGGGAGATCTTTGAAGCGAAGAGTGAATGTGGGTGGTTGGTGGAGGTAATGAGTGAGTATCGATGAGGAGTGATATACTGTTATTGATTATTCCTAGAATCTGTTTCAATAGGGTTGGGATATATCAAGTGGATTAAAAGAAAGACGACAAGAAGAACAGTGTTCCTTAAGGCGATGAATAGTCAGAATCAACAGTCTTAAGTGTTTGCAAGCTAGATGAACGATTGATTTAGACGATAAACCTTAGATGAAGGGGAATTGAAATGATTTTGAAGCTATAGCTTCAATGTAATGTGAAAAGAAGATGCATTCGAACAATAAATGAATGGATGGACGGATGGATGGATGGATAGATGGCATGTATGTGTGTATGTGTATGTGTATGTGTATAGATGTATGGATGTATGGATGTATGGGTGACTGAATGAATGAGGTTGGAGGCTCCTCGAAACCTTTCTCTTTTTGCTGTCGAATACTCGAAATCCTTAGAATGGTTTCGATTCTCTTTGTGTTAACATGAGGATATTTCTCTTCTTTTCCTCTGCTTCCTCTGTTCCTCTTTTCTCTCTTTACAAGTGGGCAAGAATGGATATTATTGATCACGATACAATTTCCCGATTAACAACCGTATGCTGAATTTTAAAGTCCCCCCTCCCTTTGAGAAACGTGTAGAAAAATGGAAAGAAAAAACCCTGGAGGGAAAGTTCCATAGGGTGAGTTTAGCGGCTCCCTTGATGTTTCGATCAATCTAGACCCTTTGGAGTGATACATTAGGTGATCAACTTACAGAACCGAGGGAATTTGACTGTGCCACAACGGCATAAAAATCGGTCTGTCAGATGTGAAAGGAATTTTAAAGACCGAGAGAACCGAGTAGCTTATGTGAACAGATAAATACCATCATTAGATGCATAGCAGTGACTGTTTGTTACATGATTCGAAATTGTGTATCTTTCAAATGTACAAGAAAAGAAGGCGTTAGATAGTAGCATCAAAGCGAGGGCCCTACTCGAGTACTAACAAGTTGACCAGGAACCGAAGCAGCCCCTTCATCAGTAACAAAACGATAGAACCCTATTCGAGCCTATCCAATACAAAGCCCAGAGCCTACAGAGCATGGAAAATTCTACATTGGCTACTATATCTAGTGTGTCTGGTACAAGGAACATGCTGGAATTCAGACATGGCCGACATTGACCGAGGCTTTTTCCAAGAGAAAGAAAAATTGATCAAATGTGATAGATAGTCGTGCTCAACGCGAGGACAACACGTTGTTTCCTTAATTTGATATGCAACGCCACAGGAATACGATCCAATTCAATATGCAAACTTCAATCAGCAATCAGCAATGGATGATCTGAACTGCCGGCGCTGGAGCGGCGTAGCCCTAAGACGCTAATTACATATCGAGTACCTACACAAGGGCCAAGAAGTGTAATCTGATTTGATTCTGTATATTTTTGATTGTGGTTTTGATCTTTTATCATCACGTTCTTCCAATTACTGTATTACATGTTTAGCATGTGATTTAGACGATCTCTACTTCCTCTACTCATCCTATATTCAAAGCCATGAGACGCTATTGAATAAGAATCAGGTCATAACTGCATTTTTGGCTTCAAAATTAGTGTAACGGTCTATTCAACGCTGCTCAGGCACATGCACTACGCACTGAGCACTATTCATGAGGGTGGCAGGTGCCGCCCAAGCTACCTAGCACCTAGCTAAATATCTAGGTATGTGCAGGAGAAAAAAGCTAGGGGTGTTTAGCTGCACGCAGTGTCTATCTATCAGTCCACTAGTCTTTGATGGGGGCTCGTATTGAGAAGAATTGACTACAAAGATACCTAGACATCAAGAGGATCAGAATGCTAGAATGATTTTCTTTCCCAATCCGAATCACAGTACTGCATTCCTTGTATTCCTATTCCTAGCACTGGGAGTTTCTATTGGAATATAGTATTCGCGGTTTCAGTTTTTTCTTCCTAGTGTTTTTCTCCAGATTGCTTAACGAGTGAAAACGGACGTGTGGTCCCATACATGCCGATCCATCACTTGGCATTTCTTATCGATGAAGGAATTTCTTATCAGTTCATCAGCGCTTGATGCGGTTATGTTTCCTCTCGTTGGTGGGTGTACGGATTGAGGGGTAGCTAAAGAAAAGAGCGTTGCGTTAGAAGGTGCTGTGCATCAGAAAAAACTTCATCGTGATTCCGGTTAATATCAATACGTCAAGCCACGCTAGTACCTAGGAATATGTAAATCTAATTTAGACGATGAAGGATTGGGTACTTTTTACTTCATTATTGGTTTCGATAATTACCATGAGGGAATACTTGAATCTCGAAATGTGATTGGAGAGTACCATTTTTTGAAGATAGCTTCATCAGGTGACGATATTATCACGAGCAACTCCTTATGCTACCTACTTGTTAACTTTACCACCCATAGATGGGGCAAATTATTTGAGAATGTTGTGTTAAATTCAATTCTTCAACATGAATAAGTCAAGTCAATGAGTTATTGGAGGTAGAACTCATGTCCTGAGCAATCTTCAGTTCAACTCGTTGATCCTTTTTAGGCAACCATAACCTATGCATGTATCACCACGGCGCAGCATGAGTCGTCTATGATATAAGTCCACTGAAATGAGTATTCTACTCTTTTGTCCTTCTCTGCCACCCGCTCTTCCACCTTCTTTCACACCCTTCATTACGCAGCACTGATATGGGAATCTGCCTCTCAAGAATACTAACAACGAACATCAAAACCTCAACCTCGATAAACCACAGTTCAACTATGGATAACCAGACCAGAAATAACCACTTTACCTTCGACTTTACCACTCCTGCCATTGATCTAGCCTTGCAACTCCCCACTCCACCCCCAATAAACATCCATCTCAAACCCACTACTCCCCGCCTCCAACTTCTCTCTCCATTCTATTCCGGTGTCATTCCCGCCGAAATCCGCTCCCTAATTTTCTCCTACGCTCTCACTCCCACCCCAATCCCAAACACAGATTACGACCCCAACACCAATTACGCACGCCCAGGCTTCACATGCCGCACGCAACTGCACCTCTCCCTCCTCCGAACATGTCGACGTATCTACCTCGAAACCTACCACCTCCCCCCAACATCCATTCCTCACGTATTCTGGCACGCTCGACACCCCCCCTCCGCTAAACCTGCCCGCAGCGAACACTCCTATTTCTCCCGTCTCCCAGACTACCAGCTCGCGCTCCTCAAATCTCTCCATCTCCACACGCAACTCTACTGGCTCCAAGATTACCTCCGTCCCCTCACTTCCGCACACTATCTCCAAAACATCACCTCTCTCAAGCTCACCATTCGAAGAGGCGACTGGTGGTGGAACGAGCGAAACGAACCACTAGCCATCAATCCCTACCGCGGCAATGCCGATATCCCCAGCATGCGCAGAGACATGGAGCGCTCGCTACAGGGCGAAGCGCCCACATGGCAAGCGGGGAAATGGGGCGCGTCGCTTGCGGGGTTCCCGCAGCTGGAAGTGCTAGAGATGGAGTTTGAGACGAGTGAGGAGAAGAGAGAGGAGTTGAAAATGATCATGGAATGGGCCCGGACGTGGGAATTCCCAATGGGGAAGAGAGGGGTGTTGAGTACGCGTAAACATACTAATGCGCGCGCGGGAGATGAAAGTGAGAAAGGTGAGTTGGGGGATGTGAAGACGTGGGAGTGGAGAGGTAAAGCGGTGCATTGGAGTGATATCTGCCCCTATTGTGTGGGTAATGCTTGTCAGCGGACGGAACCTGCGAAAGGGAAGAATGGGGATAAGTGTCGGGAAAGAAAAGGGTTGGTGGAGAGGGGAGAAGGTCCTATGTTGGTTGTGATGGAGTTGAAATGGAAATTAAGAGGTCATCCGGTGGGAGAAGAATGTCCGTTGGTTGGAGAGGAGGAGGATGACGAGATGGTGGATTCGGATATGAGTAGTGACGATGAAGACGAGATGGATTGGGGAGAGGAGGATGAGGATTAAACGAAGAATATCAGGACAGTGATGATGGTTGGAATGGGCCTTCATACAAACCTATCAATACACAAGAAACTCTTTTGAAACAAAAGTTCCTTGAACGAACGGCATTATAGGAACAGGTCTATAAGAAAGAAGCGCTTGTGAGATGATCAGAATACTATGTCAAGGACAAATGTGAGCGAATAGTATAACAAGTACCTGGTCGAGTCTTTGGAGTATCCCAGTACAGCCATAGCAAGGCAATATATCAAATTTGATTGAAACTTATATTCGTATTCACATCCACAAATCGCATTATTTAAAAACACCAACCACCCTCTTCATCACCACTAACATCCACTCCCCAGCATTCCCTCCACTCCGTCCTCCGCAACCATACTACACGTGCCCGTCGCATTCGCTGCCGTCACATTCTGCGCATAGGCGACCATAAAATCCTCAAACTCAATTCCATAGCACGGATACACATTGCTACAGCTAACACTCGCCGTTCTATTTCCCTTCGCCCCAGTCAAATATCCCGTGAAATTGCGGAATGTGATGTCCGAGAGGAGAAATTTCGAAGTGCCGGTGTAGGAACCGTTGTTTCCAGAATCCTGGGAGATGCCGGCTGCGATGGCGGCGCCTTCGATGTGGAAGTTTTCGAAGAGGAGAGAGCTTACGTTGCCCCTGGGTTTAGGTGTTAGTTTGGGGGGAGAGGGAGAAGGGAAGGGGACATACCAGCCGCCGCCTCGGGGGAGACCTGCACTTTCGTATCCGCTTTGTGGAGCTTGGAAACCTATCCATGTTTTGATGTATGCGGAATTGTGCATGTCAAGATTGTAGGAGATGATATTGACGTCTTTTACAGTAACGTTTACAACGGATGAGTCTTCGACGTATTGACCGAGAGAACCAATTGCGATTCCGTTGCCGCCGTGGCATGTGACCTATTCATTAAGATTAGTTTGTGTGATTTCGAGTTGATATATACTTAGGAGTGGATGTGAAGATGAGAAAATGTGAATAGCGATAGAAAAGGATATGTACATTTTGAACCCAAATGTTATAAGATCTTGGTTTGATGGCAATACAATCATCACCTCCCTGATACCAGAAATTGGTCAATTTGACGTTGTTTGCGTCCATAGTATCGAAGCCATCGGTATTCTGGACCCAGTTCGTTCCATATGGTACGTTTACGGCGGTCGAGTTGGCGAGCATATCGTTGAACCACATGTTAGTACCGTTCATGATGTTGATTGCCCAGAGAGGGGAATCCTTTATGGAGACTGAATTTCCATCACACTTTGTTAGCTTGATGATCATTTGTTGGAAGAAGAGAGAATTCTGAATCAAGGTGACATACAATGCTCGACGAACACTTCACTAACGTTCCAGAAGACAAAAGGCATAGGTCGTCCTGGCTGCGTAACTGCCTGCTCGGCATTGTACCAAACATTTCCATTACCGTTGATACCACCAGTGCTTTTTCCATTAATGTGAATACGATCTCCTGTAAAGACAACACCAGCAGCGTGATTTTGGAATGCGACAGGATAGGAATTATTTCGCCAATATGTAAGATTATCCGATAACTGTCCGTTGGTTAGCACACCTCTCGTGAGTGGAAGATAACCCAAACATACAGTCCAAATTCCTTGCCAATCAATCGTCACATCGTAAATGATTGGGTTCAATCTCGTTGCGATCCAATACTCTTTATTCTTAGGAAATACAACGGTTCCGCCATGATTACAATCTGAAAATGCTTTGAGGATTTGAGGAGTATCGTCTGTATGGTTTCCGAGGGGATGAACCGTGCAAGTCTTATGATTGCTACGGGGAGGAGCGGGAACAACGTCAGAGCCACGATGTCCTTTCGCAGCTATGAGAGAGGAGAAAAGTGCTATTGTTGAGGTAATTATGAGACGCATCTTGGGTGAGAGAAAGAGTCGAGGAACGATATGAAGTCTCACTATTCGAGTGCTTCAATGTGTATACAATATTCTACAATTGAAAACGGAGAAAACCCATCAAAACAAAGATCTCCAATAGCAGAAAGCCAAGCAAGAGTATATAGGTGAAGACATATTGAGAATATATACAAACATTTTCCGCATTACCAATGGCAGTATCAATGACGGTGTGTTGCATTCATCCGTGAGGTCCATCCCTCTCCTAAGGAAAACAATATAAACAAGCTCCTCAATTGGAGGCAAAATTCTTTTCAGGAACCTTAACTCATTCATCAGATCGCCACATAGAGAAGCTTTCCCCATGTTTTCCAGCTTGGAAGAGGGGTCCTGATGGTGATCATCATCTGGGGTAAAAGGAATGTTCTTGCGGATTCGGGCAATGATGCACCGAATGTGGGGTTTCTTGACTGAGTGATTCGGAGTCAATTTGATCAATAGTCGCCGCTTATTTGCAGTGTGATTTCTAAAGTCTGAGATAATGAAGCTATTCCCAAATATGAGAGAATAAGTTTTGAACTGTAAATTGAATCTTGTTGATTTATAGTTAGGTAGGTAGATAGGTAGATGATGGTACTAACTAACATTAGTGCCAGTAGATGGTTTTGGTGGGATGCAATCACCCCACCATAAGCTTTGAATTGTTCAATTGAGCTTCAATCAATGCGTCATCCATCAACTTTCACAACGAACTAAGAGCCAACTGCCATAATCTCGCCACTTGTTGTGTCCATAAAGCTACGATATATACTCATCTAGTGTTCATCTCAACCGTCAACGACTAGAAATAAATCATTCAAAATAGCTTCCAAAGCCTCTGCACGACTTTTGCGTCTCGCTCGCACAATGTCTACATCAACCACCACTCCAGCATCCATCGGTCAAGCTCCATGGCGTCCTCTTTTCCTTTCCCATCTTTCCAAGATGGATTCCCCGGAATTCGTTCTCTCATCATTACAGCCAAGTAATGATAAGGATTCTCCCACTCCTTATCTTCCTCGAGCTCGTTATTGCATCTACAGAGGAATGTGGGCCGAGCTTCCAGAGAACAAACACAATGATGCTCCTATGAATGATCGAGTTTACGAGAGTGATCTTCCAACCTTTACCACAGATGTGCGTATGGAGAAGGTCCCTCAATTTTTTGCTAGTTCACAGGGTCATGGAGAGGTAGAACAGAGTCAGGGTAGTGGCGGCGGTGGACCTGTTGAAGCAGTTTTCTGGATCAAAGAAGTCATGACTCAATGGAGAGTGAAGGGAGAGGCTTATATCGTAGGCCAAGACATTGAAGGAAGTGGCCAAGAATCAAGTGGAACACGAACTGTAAAGACAAAGATCGGAGAAAGAATGAGAGTTGTGAAGGAAGATGGAAAAGAAGGTTGGAGTTGGGGAAAAGAACTTACTGCACATTTTGGCAATATTAGCCCGGGAATGAGAGGTAGAGAAAACATAGAAATTGGATGAAGATTGCGACTAACTGTCAATCTATAGGTTCTTTCAAAAACCCTATACCTGGAACACCCGTTTCGCAGCAACCAAGCGATCCAAATTGGAAATTGGGTCAAAAAGTCACTGATCTGAATGATGAAGCTTCCAGAAAGAATTTCAGGGTTGTGATTATTAAACCTGTGGAGATCGAACAACTTGATTTGAGTGAACCTGATAAAGCAAGGAGATGGAGATTTACTTACGTCGGCCCCGATGGAGATGCTGGAAAGGGAGGAGAGATTATTGGGGAATGGAAGAAGGAAGAGCTTTGGCCATAAATCATCAATTAGAGCTTCGGCTCGGCAAAATGACATTGCGGCAGATGTTAATACCATGCGGAGCAGAGCTGCAATAATAATTTCAATTCAAGCCTTCCTTTTTTCTTTCCTTTCCCTTCTATGTCCTTGAAACTCCATGGAGATCACAATTATCTTAATTCTGGCTTCCTGTGGTTGATGGTTGGTGGTTGGGTACGAAATACAATACCTCACAAAACAGCGGTAAGTTTGCCGCACACAATTTGAATGCTCGTAAGCTTTCACATTAACCAGGATTTTCGGACTCCCTAACCAATTCCAGTTCATTTAAGCATCATTTCCCACCATTTTCACCCATGTATCAAACATTTGAGTGGTTTTCTCATCATCCATGCATCAAAAAAGACGATGGCGGCCGTTTTCTGCATAAAGCACGTGTGACAAGGAACGGGAAGAGTCAAACTAAAAACCTCTGACCCTCCCCTGCTGGCCCTGTCCTGGTCAATGGACTAAAAAACTAAAAGCCACGAGACACGATGGTGACATTAATGCTTCTAGTCTATTTCTCGAAATGCCTCACCGTCTGAAAATGAACCGGATCGGGTAGAATGAATTCCCCGGGAGGGGTAGAGGAGATGATAGGAAGCCCTATATTGGCAGAGCTTTTTACTCCGTGTAGTCTGTAGTTTCTAATCGAGAAACCTTTTTAAATGTATTAGAGTAAGATGGACTCATTTCTCGACACAAGGTAGCTAGCTATCATGTAGCAGTATTTATTATTCAGGTAGATCAACGCAACACTGCATTGCGGCTAAAGGAACATACATTTTCACGTCCCTAGGTGATTATGTAGTCAAAAGAGTATGGACTCGTATAAAAGCCCGAATGGTAGGTAGGTATTCTTCCGCAATCAAAAGAAGTTTGGCGATTCATTCTCCGCGTGAGATTCAACGAGGGGTTGTGTTGTAAATGGGAATTTCGCAACGCTTTAATGACGAGGGGGGTATAGGCTGAAGACAGGAAATGTATGAAGACAAAGTAGGTAGGTATACGATGACAACAAAGTTCCGAGGTAAATACAAAAACCAACAATTTTTTTCAAACTATGGATGCAGTAAAAGACGAAGAGGGAAATGGAGGCTGGGAAGGGTTTGGTGAGGGTCGAAGACCTATCAGAGAGATTTGAAATTATATTTGAACATCTATTTCTCGAATAGGGAAATCTTCTCGTCCACATTGACACGGCAGGATTGCTTGAATAACACGATTAATAGTTGCTCTCAGAAAAAGATGCTTGGTTGCAAGGACTGAATACCTATCAGAATGCAAGGAACAAATCATCGATATTCGAAAGGCAAATTCCTACACTGGCACCGCAGCAGAAACCATAACAAACGATATCAGTTCGTCGGCACCTTCCCGAGGCATAAGTTACATACATAGCAATATGGATCTATCAAATTGTTATAAAGGTACCGACAGCTTGGTCGAAATGAAAAAGTGATACGATTTTGAAAGACATAACCGCTCGGTGAACTTCTTTTGCTCTGCTGCGTTGTATCATTACGTGTTCTGTGACATTCTTTGATTTCCCATTTTCGTATTCCAAGGTGAAATACATGAAACTTGATGCGCGTCCTGAATACTGATCACGATTCACAATGAAGCTTCAGGGAAGATATTGTCTTGTAAGAGTGCTAACGGCTCGAGCCGTATGTTTCCTCCAATTACAATTTCTCATACCGTTTCTTCTTCTTTTTGCAGGAAACACCTCCGTTTTGTTTCAATATTGCTGGCTAATTATGTATATAAAATGGAAATGAAATGGATGATTCGCTTATTGATTTCTGACACTGACAATGAACTTGAATAATGAAGGGGTCCACAGTCCACAGTCCACAGTCCACAGATCCGAAAAAATCCCTGGATATCATTAGCGTTCGAATTCGATGTACCAGGATTAAGTTTGCGCCATTTCATTGAAGACGGCTTATCACTTTCTCTGCCCTTGATTCCATTCATCTACACTCTACCATACATTTCATACCACCAACCACACTAACACATACTCTCAAGGTCGGTCTGCATCGATGTAAGAAAAAAAGTAAAATTGATTGAACAAAACAAAACATCACACAATACCTTTTCGCTATCCTATGCAAGGTTACAAGTAAGTTGAACTATAGTTTCATGCAATAATATTCTTATAGATATAGGTCGGTATCCGCATCCTCTTATGATCGCCTGTTCAAACTTGCATGCAGGTAGTGTGAGCAGTTAGTCCGAGATACATATTGGATACTCCATACCTATATCCTTCATTTACAGATCACGCTCCTGGTTAATAAAGTCCTTCGGGTCTTGTAATTGAAGGAAAGAGATCAGAATCACTTTACTTCGATCTCCTCTCCTATACTCCACGCAGAGAGTCGCACGCATTGTCCAACTGTTTATTTACTTCTTCCCCATTATGACGCAGTGATGATGGTACTAGTATGATGTCCATTGACTTCCTTAACTACCTACCTCGAAGCTTGCAATCCTCGAATCAGACACAATATATTCTCTACCGCAACAAATATACTCCAAATAATACTATCCAACTTCCAAACGCTCTTGCCAAATCATTTTTAACTTACATTGATCCTAATTCATCATGACGACATTTTCGACATTGGATGCGTTGACCAGTCTAACCCAATCCATACCGGATTGGAACAAACGACTAGACGACTTGAACGGCCAAATAGCTTTACGACAAATCGAGCTTGCACGCTTGACCGATCACAAACCTGCACGCTCCGTGAAAAATAAAGGTTCTACCGAGTCCCTACGACCCAAAGATAGCGAAGAAGCCATCACCGAATCCGAAAAGCCCAAGCAAGCCCCCTCATCTCCCATCGGCTCCCCCAAATCCGCACAAAATGGTTTCTCCTCCGACGCCCGACCCAATTCCCCATCCGTAGCTCGAGCTGCTGCCGCCGCCGCCCTTGAATACAACCAATCCCCGTCTCAAGCAGCTCCCCAATCGCCCGAGCCCCTTACTCCCCGAGCATCTCCCAACGCTCTAACGCGGCAATCCTCGCAACCTACACCCCCTACGGAACCCCTACCACGAGCCCCCGCCGTCCTTCGAAAACGCAAGACGGAATCCCTCGCATCGGGAAACTCACACGCCCCAAAATACAGAACCAGATCCATGATTATAGTGTACTACGACAGCGCGGTCCAGACCGCTTTTGAGGACCTCGTCAAATTCGTAAGCGGAAATCGGAATGCAATGAGAAAGGGGAAAATGGCCGCCAAAATGGCAGAAATGAGACGCGCTGCCGAAATGGAAGCCGAGGAAGAAAGCGATGATGAATCGGAATCCGAGGCTTCAAAAGTTCTGGGTAGCGCGTTGCTCAAGCCTTCGTTGCCATCTCAAGCGGGCTCGGACCCAGCTGCCAATGGGACAAATGGAGATACTCGCGCGGGAGCGAAACTCAAATTCCCATCGTCGAGAAACATGGGTTCGACTCGCGATCGCAAGACAATTGGAAATACGATGAATGTATTACGAGGGTATCGCCGAGCGGGCGGGGGAATCGAAGGAGCGGGAGGAAATTCCCCCGATATATTTGATGAACTCGATAAGGGACTCGAATGGTGTCAAGGCCAGTGCGAACACGCTGCTCACCAATTCCTCCGCGATGGAGAGTGCAGTACGGAGATTGAGAATATCAAAAGGAGATTGGGGGAAGTAAAGGAGATTGCCGAGAGGAAGATTGAGAAGTTGAGAGCGGAGGAGGCGTTGCAATTGGAGTTGGATAAGAAGAATGAAAATGATGTTTCGAAAGAGGATCCACTTGTTGATGGATCGAAATCTATGCCAGCAATAGCTCCTGTCTTTAATGGACCAGTGGAGTTGGAGGTCGATGATGCGATGGAAGTGGATGATGATGACGATGATGATGATAATGACGGTTTTGATCCGAGGAAATTGATCTTTAAGCGATCCGGGGATAGGATGCCCTGATCTTTTGGATTTGCATGGTGAATTTCTCTAGAACCATTGGAGTTGTCTTTTTTGAAAACATCCGTTGAATTGAGATTCTTTGGGCTGGCGTAAGGATTGCTTCTTACCTATCGCATGGAATATATGGCGTGAAAAATTATGCAGATAGGATTGCAAAAGTTCGGCATTTTCAACGGTGCGTAGCATGGATAGTCTAGATCTGAGGCTTGGGATATAGTCTTGTGAGTTGGATGGATGGACCTGATGAATATGTGAATGACTATAATCATTCACTTGGATTAGCATTGGGATGGAAAAGTCATTGATCTTACACAGAAATAAGAAGGGCGTTGAATATATTTGGACATAATCTAATATATCAATCTCATTAATCATATCACATCACGTTTCACGTCATCTTTTTTGGAATGATAAGTTCTTGTGCAGTATAGAGCAGGGCAATGCTCATTCATCTATTTTTTATACGTGTATATCATTCGTGGTATCATACACGAGGTCTGTTGGTAGCTACGCGACTTGTTATCTCGAACTTCCATACACCCTAATGCTCTCTCAGTTGTGCAATTTGTCGTTTGGATTGCTTGTACACTTTATCTAATGATAGCTCCAGCCAAAGACTTAACCTTGCAAACACCACCACTCACAGTAACCAATTTTCCAACGCCAGTCTTGGCATCCTCTCCTTCCTTACTCAACTCCGTTACAACACCCGCATCAAATGCAGCTTCTAAATCTGCAGTTGTGGTGAAACCCGGTTGGATCATCTCCCAAACCTTCTTCTTTGGGTTCAAAACACCCTCGGGCTCTCCTTGCCATCCCTCGAAGAAAACTCGTTCTCCAGCCTTAGCTTCGGCTGGTGGAGTAACAAGTTCGACTGGGCCGGCGTGGTGATCTTCTTCTCCTTCCTTGAGTCTGGGAGAGGCGGCTAAGACCATGGCGCATGATTTGATACCACGCATCTTGACGGGTTTAAGGTTGCACACAACTACTACCTTGCGACCTTGCATTTCTTCGAGTGGAACGAGACCGTTAAGACCAGAGCAGACGGTTCGCACAACTTGTCCTTCGTATTCAGATGTATCATCGGTTCCGGGCTTGTCACCCATAGCAATGGTGGAGACAAAGAGAGAATCGGCCTCGGGATGTTTGATTGCTTTGAGGATGTGACCAACACGGAGATCGATCAAGCATGGAGAAAGGGGGGCAGATGGAGCAGGAGCCTTTTGAGGTTTTGGAGCCTTCTCTTTCTTCTCCTTCTTTTGTCTGGGAAATTGTGGTTGTTCGCCTGTTACAGCTGCAACGATTGTATCTTTTGCCTCTGTAACCTTCTCGGCAACTTGAGCTACAACTCCCTTGTCGCTCTTTTCCTTGGTTCGATCTGCCAATTCCTTTTGTTCACCTCCTGCGGCGGCTGCGGCAGCGGCAGCTTTCTCTTTCTTCAATCGCTCCTTTTCGGCCTTGGCATCCACGGGAGGCTTAACATATAAGATCTCCTCAGCATCAACCTTGACTTTCTTCTCTTCCTCAATATTCAATCCAAAAATCGGCGAATTCTGCACAAAATCCACATGGCGCACAATATTAGGAAGACCCTTCTCACCCGTTCGTTCCTCGCTGCTCCATTTCGCGACCTGTGGCGCCAAACTCTCGTAGATAGCGATATCGGCAGACGAAGGCTTGGAGCCGAGAAGAGTCGTGCGGGACGCTAAGTGAGTGTTGAGCGAATCGAGGAGAGAGGGGGTTTCGGAGCTGGAGGTCTTGAGACGTTCAGAAGTGAGCGTCCATTGTTTGAGCTCGGTTTCCTCGGCGGGTGTGTATTTGATGGAGGAGAAGCTGGCCATGGTTCTGGAGAATGATATGTTTGCCCTGGTGATGGCGCGGGTAATGAGGCGTGGAGAATACAGCTTGGAAATTGGGTTGGAGGGGTTGAGAAGGTGGTTTGTTGGGTTGGTTTGTTTTTGAGTCATTCGTCAAGGGAAATTTCTACTTTACCCCACCATTCTTTATCTCCTACGATAGGTACTCGTACCTCGATGTATTGTATTAGACGAGAGAGAGATATCAAAATAGGATGCTCTTTTCAATAATCGATATCAATTCAAACAATCATCATTTCGATTCAAAATTGGACAGAAATATTAAGAACTTTTGTTCTCCATTGTCTTTTTTCCTTTCTACTATTCGAGTGGATATCAATATCGACATCTCCTATCAGATTCAGATTCTTCAGCAACTTATTTATTCTCAATCAAGTGATGGAGTACGGATTTTTCGTCTATCTGGAGAATAAATACCTCCTTGCCTCTCACCCGACAGTGCGAAGCATATAATCATAGGTCAAGATTCTCTGTTATATTCTAAAACCTACAAATCTGTTTTCAAGTAGTCCTCCAAGTACCGTTGGAACATTGATAAGTTTAACTCGATCAATATAATTATCTAGGTAATCAAAGCAAGGTTCAAATTGTTCCCTCTTCTTTGTTCCATACCTACCATTACTAGCACTCGTTTCCTTCTCACCATCTCAAGATTCAAAACATACAGACCCATCTGTTGAACATTTCTCTCTCTGATCATATAATATATCTTGATGTTTCAAGCGTCCATATCTAAGTTTAGCACTGTGCTCACATAACATGAATAACAAGCCATACACACATTATGAAACCCATCCTCGATATCCCCCCCTCTCGCGTGTATTCCTCAAATCATCCCTTCTCCCCCCCTCCCCCCCTTCCTCACCAAATATCGCTAGATATTCTTCCTCCGAAGCGTGCATACATACATACATACATACATACATACATACATACATACATACACATTCCACAACATCTCAACAAATCATCCCCGAAAATCAAGAGATTCCGCACCGTGAATACCACAAATCTTCCATAATCAGTGGAAATGAATGAATAATTAGGTACCTCACCTATATTGCCACCAGAAGATAACATTGCTCGATTCTCGACTGGTGGGTTGCATAGTGCATAGTGCTTAATCGATAGAGAGGGTTTGTTTGAGTACCAGTATGGCGCGGGGCATAGCTGTACATTTTGATGGGTTGTGGATTCGGTTGGTTTACTTCATTTCGTGACATTGGATTGATGTGGTGTTGGTGTGTGGATACACGCTTTATATAGTGTGTACTGGCCTTGTTAATATCGTACCTGCGGGATATCTGCTCATTTTCTATGAGATTGAATATCCAGATTGTTACGGGACTCGGGCAGGCTGTTGTTGATCTATATTTGGACCTTTGAATGTGGTTTGAAGTCCATTAGAATAGTTGTATTACGATCCTAGTTCAAATTGTTCGCTATGGGGTTGATAGGTCATGTCAATCAAGAGATAGATGAGCAGGCATAGATAAGTACATTTTTGATTTCAAAAACTATGTGATAAGTGTTAGATATTTCGTTTCCAATCCCCCAGAGCGAAGAAGCCAAAGACATGCACAACCCCATGCTCAATGTTCATGCCCATCCCATCTCACCTAAACAAGCAACGTTCCATACAATCCACCATCCTCCACTCTCGCACCATCCATTTCCCCCTTAACACCCAACAATTTCACATTACCCCATTTCGCCAGGAAAGATTTAATCTGATTCATCGTCTCCGTATCATCCCTAACCAGTAGCACAATCGCATCATAGCCTCCCGCACCCGGAACCACACCCCCAATCACCCCCTCCACATTCTCAATGACGTCATCTAGCAATTTCGTTTGCTCTTCAGGTTCAATCGGAACTCCTGAAAGACTACCCATCTCTCTTATTTTTTCTCGAATAGCCGAGAAAGCAGGACCAGCTGCACTAATATCATTTCCGGAAGAGAGAATTTCTGCCAATTTCTCATTTCGTGATTGTAATTCATCCCATAATTCTTTCGAGACGACGGGATCACGTTTTCGCCATTCGAGAACCTTTTTTACCATTCCGACGGTTTGGGATCCGCAATCTACGTCGCACATGACGAGAGTCATACCTTTGGGGATGGTGATTTTGCCTTTTTCGATTTGAGTGTCCCATTTTTGAGGGGCGGTGTTCTCGACTGAAGCTTTGACGCGCGTGGAGAAACCTGGGGAGCCTGGTTCGCCGAGGGAAGAGAGGATAGAGGGGGAAAAGCGACGGTAGAGGGAGGTGCCGTAGACAGCTGTTGCAACGTCGAAACCTGAGCCGACTTTTCCTTGGGCTGCACAGTGGGCTGCTTGGGCTAGGTTGTGGAGTTGAGATTGGCCTTCTTTGGTATTGAGAGAGAATTTGGAGGAGGGAAGATAATGGGAGAGAATTGCACCGGTGAAAGCAGTCACCAAGGCTGCGGAAGAGCCGAGACCGGTCTTATGGGCATCTTCGAGACGGACACCAAAGTCCAGGAATTGATGGTGTGCATCTGAGGCAATGGCTTTGGTCGAGGGGTTGGAGTAGTAATCTTTGTCAGCTAGGATTGTGATGGAGGTTGGTTTGATAGTAGTAGATGGAAGAACGGAAGAGATGTAGGTTAGTGCGTAGAGTAATGCTGTTTCTACGAATGGATTTCGAGAAACTGATGCTGATGGAGAGCTAGAAAGATTACGAAATGAGTAAACGTGATCGTCAAGAAGGAAAGAAACACATCTTACCTTTTTAATTGGGTGACTTCAATACCCCCATCATCCTTGATCAAGTGAAATCCATAATTCCAAGCTGCTTCCCGGAATTGAGGACTCTTGACAATAATATCCGAAAGCTGAACACCAGAGGTAGTCTCGATATCTTGAACCAGCACGTGAATTCGGGCACTAAGACCAAACACCAAGGCGGTATAATCACGATCCAATACTAGATAACCTCCTGCTAAGAAGACCTTGCCCGGTGCCGATACGGCAGTGGTACGATTAGTCATCCTGTTCTTTGATGATGATCGAGACTGGACTGGACTGGACTGAATGATTTGGTCAGCGAATGTATCAGCCGGGATACGAAAATGTGACAATGGCGGCGAATGTACAGTACAAG